CATGATGATCGCTGACTGCCATGGATGGCTTACCATATAAGTAAGGCCGAAATTTACTGATGGCCCAGATAACGGTAAGATATTATTTCTCTGAGGCTGAATAGTTGGTCTCTGCTTTTGTTAGAGTACGGCTGGCATAAGCTATGACCTTTTCTTCGCCATTCTGCCACTGTATTAAAAAGCATCCAAGGCCGATGTTCCTCGCATCTGTATGTATTTCCGTGTCAGTCGTCTCGTCAAAATGAGAAGGAATTGGAGGCTTTTCCAACTATTTTCGTGATTTGTTGAAGGCGCTCTGTTGCTCATTTTGCCACTGAAAAGGCTCATCTTCCCTCGTAAATTTTCTTAAGGGCTCTGAGGTTTTGGAGAAATTTCGGACAAACCATGCGTAGTACGCACACAGACCTAAAAATCTTTGTATTGACTTTTTGTCTGTTGGTACCAGAAATCTTCCGATGACGGCCGTCTTTTCGGGATCAGGTCGAATGCCTTTGGCGCTGACGTGCCCAGAAAATCAAAGTTCGTCGAAGCCAAACTGGCACTTTTCTGGCTTGATGGTCAAGTCTGCCGAAGGAATTGCCTCTAACACAGACCTAAGGCACTTCATGTGCTCCTCGAATGTTGCAGCGAAGATGACCACGTCGTTCAGGTACACTAAGCAACACTGCCACTTAAATTTGGAAAGTACAGTGTCCATCATGCGTTGGAACGTTGCCGGCACGCAAGAGTCTAAAAGGGAGAGCCTTAAATTCAGACAGTCCGTCTGGCGTAATAAACACAGTCTTCTCACGATCATGTTCATTAACTTCAATTTGCCAATATCCACTTATGAGATCTAGTGACGAAAAAAACTTTGCACACCGAAGTCGATCTAACGTGTGGTCAATGCACGGAAGGGGGTATAAATCCTGTTTATTCACAGAATTAATTTTTCGGAAGTCGACACAAAACCGTAATGTGTTATCCTTCTTCTTGACAAGCACCACAGGAGATGCCCACGAACTGTTGGAAGGCTGGATAACATCACCTTGAAGCATCTCCCGTACCTGGTTCTTTATAGCTTCCCTTTCCTTCGGTGAAACACGATATGAGTTCTGGCATACTGGCCTGGTAGTCGCGTCTGTTATAATCCTGTGTCTTGTAATCCTCATGTGCCGTACCTTTGAACTATTGGGGAAACTGCTGCGGGATTCCCGTACTAGGTCATATAGCTGTCGACGTTGAATCGCTGAAAGGTTAGGATTGATAGATATGACGTCGCATACGTCAGATGTTAGTTTCATATCGGTTGGTGTAGTTTCGAGACTGCTTATTTCTGTCACTTCACGGAACTCATCAAGAAAGGCAATAGTTTTTCTCTTAGCAATGTGTTGGAATTCGTTCCCAAAGTTTGTGAGGAGGATGCCTGCACACCCGTTCCGCAGCCTGATAATTCCTCATGCCGCACAAACACCTTCAGAAAAACATTCATGTTGCAGTCTGCCACACCTTCATAGTCGCTAAATGTATCCTTTCTGACAAGAACCATTACAATGCTTCGTGGCGGTACCATTACTTCATCATCGACGACCCGTAGTAGAGTGTTGTATCATCGCTCTTCTGCTCGTGCTGCTGTTATAGCGTGTTCCGTCGAAAATGACACGCTTGACTTCTGCAAATTAATAATGGCACCATTAGCTTGTAGGAAATTCATTCTGAGTATGCCTTCCCTTGAACACAAGGGCAGGACATTAAATTCACCGACGTAAGTGAAGCCCCGTATCACGACCCTTACGGTACATCGGTTAAAAGGGGTTATGAGGAGACACCCTGCAGTACGTACTTGAGGTCAACTACATTCGGTCAGAACTTTCCTGAGTCGTTGGCCAAACAAAGAAGCGATCCCCGCCTCCCCCGAGAAGCCGCGAGGAGGTCGCGTTGGCACACTAACCCGTGACGTCGTCATGTGATGCCCCATCCTCGCCTCTTCTCCGGGGATTTCTCCCTCGAGTGAATCCCGCTTTACGAGCAGTGCGAGTGTAGAGATACAGTGTACTAGAAGGGGGCAGTGGAGTGAACAAGGCAGCTGCGCCGCATCTCGGCTGATTCTCCGGCCGATAACAGTAGCGGCGGGGCTGTTGTCCTATAGTACTGAAGATCTAGGCAGCGTCTGCATTGGGAGCGTGTGCACCGACGCCTGCGAAAGCCTGTAATTGCCCGTTTTTAGCGCGTTTAATGCGTTTCTGAGCCTTTATCAGTGGACACACCTGCTGCGCGCCATGGTGCACGAGTAAATATGTAGGCATGCCGAAATTGCGTCGATACAATCACTGTTTCAAGAGCCTGCCAACCCCCAAAAAAAAAAAAGTCAATTGAAGTTTGCACAGATTCACCTAGCTCCTTAATCAATCAGTGCTTTGAGCCACGTTACATCATAGGTGGCTACTGGCGAACTACAAAGAGAGGAGAAGTATCAAAACTATGCTTAAATCATGCGCTCGTTTTGTCAGCAGTCTCTATGAAATCCAGAGCACAGTGTTCGTCATATGAACCTATTTGCGCTCGATTGTTTCACGAGAAACCCGAGTGTAAGTGACGTTGTCACAACATTAATTGGTGACGACTCTTTTTTTATCATGTCAGTTTCGTGGAAGATAATAATTATTGCTTTCTGAGAGGCTTATTTACACATTAAACTTATTGAAAACAACACTCAAACAAATTGAAAAGTGCCAATTGTAAATATAGCCCACCCGTTAATCTGCGTGAATTCATTGTGACCAGTTCTCATTTTGTATCGACAGCTTAAATTGTGCTGCTTTCCAAATATTCTATTGGCGTAACGCCAGTGCAAGCGAGCAACTTTATGACGATGTAGGCAGGCAGTGATGCATCTTGTTTTGAGAAATTTACCTTCCTCCTTGTATATGTACACAGTAAACACACGCACGCACGCACACACACACACACATGCACACACACACACACACACACACACACACCACACACACACACACACACATATATATATACACACAATGCCCCTATATACACAATGCTACTATTTTTAGGTGGTGCATTTCTCATCCGACTACGTTAGACTTTGAACTAGTTTTGAGACTTCATACTCGAAAAGGTGAAATCTACAGCGCATTTGTAGAGACACGCTATGTTTCCCTTAGCCAACTGTACACTGTTGGTGCAGGGCTACCCAGGATTTCTCCTTTTTTTTTTTTTACGGGGGGGGGGGGGGGGGGGGGGGGGTGCAGCAGAACACCTAACTTTGGCAATTGGTGGCCGCTATGAATGCCTGTAACTATTTTAGTATACCCTGAAAAGTTCAATTTCCAAAACATTTTATGGTATAGGGGGTTCAAATTCCCTTCCTCTCCCCTATTTCCTTGTGGCTTTCTGGTTCTGCGTGCGTGTGACGAAGTATTTGTTTTTTAATCCCACAGCTTTCTGAGCACAGCTAACTACCAATAAATCAGCTCAGTTATTTTGAATATTGTAGACACCTAACCAATGAACAAAGAGTTAAGAGAGAAGAAATCAGTATAAGACACACACTTTCTGAATTATTTTCAATCTCTCACAAGGGCTTTTATGGAGCTCAAATTCAGTAGATGGGTGTGTCATACTTCAAGGGCTATGGTATCATGTGCTAGACATGAATGATGGCCAGATGCGAAGAAATCTGCATCAAGAAATCGCAACAAAGGAGCCGAAGCGCATAGCAGTTTCTGCACGCGGCGCCCGGCTCTTTCAGTACTATTCGACTTCAGCGCCGCCGGCCGCTGCAGGCAACGCGGAAGGGATCAGGTGGCAAGGCTCAGTCACGCCACTCAACACTTCTAGTACACTTTAGTAGAGACATCACAGCTGATAAGCACACAGCGAGCGAAGGTCACCAAACTGCCCGCGCCAACGGACCTCGGTCCCTTCCTGCCAAACAACCCCCCCCCCCCCCCTCTTTTCATTTTAGCCTACTTTCTTTTTCTTCACTCTAACTGTCCCTTCATGCCTCCTTTCCCCGTTAGTGCACGCTTTTGGGCGCCCCTCGAGATCACAAGCAGATACCACTGTTGGGGTCAAACGATTGCGAGAAGAAAAGATAGTCACAAAGCGTTTTTACGGGGTGCGCTGGAGAGGAGTCTCGGAGTCTCGGTGACAGCTTGCAGAAGATAGTGCCATCAACCACCCCAGATGAGTAAAGTGCTACAAAGAAGCTGTTTCCAACGCGAATGTAAATTGCAAAAGGCTAAGCGACCTAATTGTTATTCGCATGACCGCAATTTTTCCTTCTCCTGAAAAAATTTTCTTACAGTTTACCCCGAGTAGTGACGCAACCCCCAACATTGCTCCGATTTTTCGAGAAAAGAAGAGCGTTCATTATGCAAGTAAATATTAGATCTCATGCTCACAAACAACCTCACGGCTGTGAGGTCTTCTCTGGTACATCTAAGCATTAGTGATCACACTGTTGTTGACTGCTAGTTAAATTCAGAGCATGCAAGAATTGCAAATAATGCTAGACGACGAATCTGTAGTTATCAGGAAGCCCGCAGAAGTGATACTGAAAGTAATTTGGATGCATATTACGATGTTCTTGAAACTTCAGCAGAAACCGAAAATGCGCATGAATTATGAACACATTTAAGCTAAAACTTCTCAAAATACACGATCAATATGTGCAGTCATGAATAATGATGCCATGCTGCAGCATATCTAAGCCGTAGTGCACGAAAGAACTGCTTAGCCTAGCCAGAAAGCAAGCAACCACTTACACTACATACAGAAACACATTGTCATTTCACCTAAGCAAGAGACCTGAGCTAATGACCAAGCACATGAAAAAAGTGTTGAACATAGAGAAAAACAAGTTTTTCAGGCATTCTGAAATAAGAATACGAAGAAGTGCTAAAGAACTCTGGTAACTGGAGTTGCGAATACGGCACGAATACAAGCATGGTGTCCAAGGTGTTCGTATTTGCTTGTTTGCAGGTTCTGCTTCTTGTCACCGCTGCGAATTCAAGAGCAACTATCGCATTGACCAAGACGGAGCACGAGCCACCGTTTTCAAGCTATCTGGATCTGTCGCCGATGCCGCTTCTATCCACGTGCAGCAAAGACGCCTGTATCGGAAGCATCTACGACGGAGCACGAGCCACCGTTTTCAAGCTATCTGGATCTGTCGCCGATGCCGCTTCTATCCACGTGCAGCAAAGACGCCTGTATCGGAAGCATCTACCAATCAACGACAACCACACCATGGACTGCTGCTGACTTAACTAGCCCACCGGACGCCCACCTACTCAGTTGCGGGCACGGCACGAATACAAGCATGATGTCCAACGTGTTCGTATTTGCTTGTTTGCAGGTGAGGCACGATACTTCATCATTTAAAAGCAATCATTTGTTACTAACAGTCGTGCCGTGCCCCCGAACACTGGCGTTGATAGTGTGCGATTTTCGGTCTATATTTCTTAAGCTTGTCACAAGTGGTGACGTCGAGTTGAATCCGGGCCCGAGCTCAAACTCGGATGACAAACTTGAGCAGATTTTGCAAACTCTGAAGGAGCAGTCAAAAACATCAGCTGACATTAAACGTGATCATAGATTAGTCCTAAAGAAAGTAAACGAAAATGATACTGCCATAAAAATATTGAAAACCGCCTAGCTAAACTTGACTCCTCTGTGTCTAAACTGGATGACGCACAACAAACAGCAACCCGACTGAACGAAGTAGTTGAAGTGTCATCTAGAAAGGTTTATGACATTGAAAATCGCCAGCGCCGCAATAATCTTGTTATTTTCGGCCTGCATGAGCAAGACAGGGAAACACAGGAAGGCCTGACAAAAGTGGTACAGGACAAAATTTCTTTTGTAATCGGTTTATCGCCTAAAAGCGTGGAGCGTATGCACCGCATTGGAAGAAGACAGTCTAAAGCACGACCGGTTATTCTCCGACTATACGACTTCAAGGAACAGCAGGAAATTATGCGTAACTGTTACAAGCTAAAGGGTTTGCACGTCTCAATCGATGACAACTTTTCAAAACGCGTGCTACACAGCAGAAAGTGCCTTTGGGAAAGCGCTAAAGACGAGAAGTTGAGCAAGAAGCGGGTGCCCCTAGCTTACGATAAGCTCTACGTACACGGCAAGGCGTGTTACTGGAACGATTCTACTGATTCGCGTAAAGAGTGCCAAAACGCTCGCCATTACGAGAAAGACACCAGCTTGGACGGCAGTGGAAATTTTTCCTGACAAGTTAACAGCTATGAATGTTAATGCACGCAGTATCTGTAACAAGTCATCACTCTTTGAGGTTGCGCTCTTTGAACATGAACCAGATGTTGTAATCATGACAGAAACCTGGTTAAGCGAATCAGTTGAAAATACAGAGTTCCCGCCTCCCAATTATACTGCCTGTCACAAAGACCGAGGATCCAGGGAAAAAGATGTTGCCATTGTTCACAAAACTTCAATTCATTGCCCTGAAATTTTCACCCCATCGAAATTAGAATGCGTTGCGTGCACGATACAAATGGATGGGCAGTATTTTGTAGTTATCACAGTGTATCGCCCACCTGGCACCCCTGAAGAATATATTGTCACATGCTACAAAAGGTCTTCAACTAGGAAGAACTGACCCGGCGGGGAGACGTACCGAAAACTGGCAAGATGGCTGCTTCAATAATAAACAACCAGCCAGAGCATGCGCTGCCCCAGAACATTGTCTTCCATTCTCGCGGGCAGCCATGGCTTGCGCTCGCCGTAACTAGCGGCCAAGTGGCATTATTCCCTCTTTGAGAAAAAAAAAAAAAGGCATCAGTCTGATGCTTGGAAAGTACAAAGGCAGAGTCAGGGCGAACCGACAGAAAATACGCACTTACACAAAAAAAGCGATATGGTTCATGCGCAGTCGCACTAACACCGGAAGTACGGCTTTAGGCGCACCACGTGGACAATCTCCGAGGAGTGCCTTCGCCGTCGTGGCGAGAAGGCGCCGTCAAGGACTATCTCGTAGTTCACATCGCTCACGCGTCGCCAGACTTTGTATGGTCCGAAGTAGCGACTGAGCAGTTGTTCTGACAATCCCTGGCATCGGGCTGGAGTCCACACCCAAACTTTATCGCCTGGATAATATTCAACTTGTCGATGGCGAGCGTTGTAGCGGCATGTGTCTGTACTCTGCTGGTGCGTAATGTGTAGGTGTGCTAACTGGCGTGCTTCTTTGGCGTACTGGGTGAGCTGCACAGCATCAGGAGTGATCAAAGCATCGCAATTGTGTGCAAGCATCGCATCCAGCATGGTCTGGACCTCACGTCCATAGACAAGACGGAAAGGCGTCAATCGCGTAGTTTCCTGGACGGCAGTATTGTACGCGAATGTGACGTACGGTAGCACCTGTTCCCAGGTCTTATGCTGATCATCTACGTACATGGATAACATGTCAGCGATGGTCTTGTTGAGTCGCTCTGTCAAGCGGTTGCTCTGCAGATGATATGCCGTGGTCTCACGATGGCTCGTGTACCTGAGCTTTAATACGTCATGAATGAGCTGGGCCGTGAATGCTGTTCCTCTGTCTGTGATTACGCACGACGGGGCGTCATGTCGAAGAACGATCTGGTCCATAAAGAATTGGGCGACGTTGGAAGCTGTAGCGCGTTGTAGTGCCTTTGTTTCGGCGTACTTCGTCAAACAGTCTGTGGCTATTACGATCCACATGTTGCCGGCAGATGATAGCGGAAAGGGCCCCAGTAAATCCATTCCTATTTGATCAAATGGCGCTCTGGGTGGTTCTATTGGTTGAAGAAGCCCCGGGGTCTTTTGTGGCGGGGATTTGCGGCGTTGACATTCCCGGCAGCTTTTTACGTATCGCTTAACTGATGCAGAAAGCTTAGGCCAGTAGTATGCTTGTCGAACTCGAGCAAGAGTTCGAGAGGAACCTAAGTGACCAGGTGTGGGCTCATCGTGGCAGGAAAGAACAATGTCGTCACGCATGTCGGTTGGCACAACTAGAAGATAGGTTCTCTCATTGCCATTGGAGTTTTTGTTATACAGGACCCCATCTTGCAGACAGAACGACGACAGACTTCGAGAAATACATCGAGGTATGGACGAGTTGCGTCCTTCAAGGTTTTCGATAACTGCGCGAATTTCATCGTCCGCACGCTGTCCCGTAATCAGATCTGTTGTAGTAAGGGCCCCAAGGAAACCATCGTCATCCTCGGTGCCGTGGCCACAAACTTTGACAGGTGCACGGGACAATGATTCAGCATCTTTGTGCTTGCGGCCCGATTTGTAAGCGATCGTGAAATCATATTGCTGCACGCGAAGACTCCGTCGTGCCAGTAGGCCACACGGGTCCCGTAGGTTGGCTAACCAGCACAACGAATGATGGTCGGTCACTACCTTGAAGTGGCGTCCGTAAAGGTAAGGTCTAAATTTCATCGTGGCCCATACAACAACGAGGCACTCTTTCTCTAACGTGGAATAGTTGACCTCGGCGCGGAAAAGAGTGCAGCTAGCGTACGCTATCACTCGCTCTGTGCCATCTTGTTGTTGTACGAGGACAGCACCAAGACCCACGTTGCTGGCGTCAGTATGAATTTCAGTATCAGCGTGTTGGTCAAAGTGAGCGAGGACTGGTGGTGTCTGCAAACGCTCCGGTAGTTCAGAGAAAGCTACGTCCTGTTCTTCCTCCCAGACGAATGGAACATCTTCACGAGTGAGTCGAGTGAGCGGTTCAGCAATCCTAGAAAATTGGCTATAAAGCGGCGATAGTACGCGCTGTTGCGACGCGCGCCTCCGACGACGTTACGAAGGGCGCCTCGAAATCTCACCGCTGCAACCACTGTTTCGAAAGACGGCGACATCAACACGGTCCTGAAGGCGCCACTGCTTCGAACTCCGCCGGGAAGGTCATCAGCCGTTTGGTAGCGTAGGTTTCTCAGCTCGCGACTGCTTCTGCGCAGAGCTGATAGACGAGCGGACGAGACGACGGTGAGTTAAACAAGGTTTATGTACAGCATATATACAGAGATGTTATAAATTCGGCACTGGGTCCGACAGAGACGCGAAGAGCCGAGCTCTTCTCTCTAACACATAGCTCTACTCTCAAAAGGGTCTGCTGTCAAAGGGGTCTGCCCTCCATAGGACTGCTGCTTGCGACGCGCCGCAGGGCTTCTTTTATATGCACCGGGTAGATTCTTTGAATAACAAAATGTCCAACCAGAAGCGCCGCTGGTCGTGAGGCCAGTCTCCTCCAATGGGGTCGCCGCTGGGCCAAGTCATTCTTTCTCATCGAATCTGGAGAGGCTGCGCTGCAGGTGGCTGCACCCAAGGACGAGTGACGTCGCAAGGCATTGCGTCATCCCCCCAGACAGGAAGACGCCGGTTGTTTACTCGACGGGCTCGCTTGCTGAGGTGACTCACTGCACGTGCACGCCAGAAAGACGCCGTCGCCTGTTGATGCCGTTGAGTTGTTCGCGTCAGGCGGACTCGCGGGCTGGCCTTGACACAGATTGCCTTTTTCAGAGGCACGGACGTTCGCTGTCGACTCGCAGGCATAACGGCACCCCCGCCGCCAGACAATGCGCCGAAAAGACGAGCTGCTTCCACGTGGCTCGGATGTCAGGCGCGCTCGTTCGCCAGGTCCCACCAGGTTCGTCTCCAGGGCCATGGGGAGAATGCAGCTCCAGACTCTGTTCCGGGAACACATCCCATTCTTGAGGACGGATCCCAGCTCCACTGGCTCGTCGCCACAACTTGCCGGCCAGCTTCGCCCGTCTCTGACGATCCTTGGTTTCAGCACTTGTCGATGGTTCTGCAACTTGTCAAGAACGGTTCGACAACAGACAACACACGACACAAGCAAGTGCCCTCGGTCACCCGACAGAACACCAGACAAAGTATAGTACAACATATACCTAGCTACGCGTCCATCGGTATTTCTTTCCCTCTACATCAAGAGGCACATGTGGGAAGAGGCACATGTGGGACACAAGACTCTTAAAATGAGAACTCATTTTTTTTTTACATGTACAACAACGTAACGAAATAGAATAGAACATAAAGTTGGCTCCTTGAGCTCATTCTGGACGAGAGCGCTCAGCTAAGGCCGTGATGAGGACAACATTTTGCCCCGAATCGCCAGCGAGAAACCGAAAGGTGGAGATGGTACTAACTAAACGCACTGCTCAATGCACCTGCATTAGCGTTTAGCTTTCCTTTTTTTTTTTAGCGAACGTCGAAGTTGTGCTGTCGGAGCATCATGCTCCATCTCAGTAACCGGCCACTTTTAGGCGACGATACCTATGCGGTACCAAAAGCAGCTCACACTTGCGACGTTGCACATCTGTGTAACTACAATAG